TATGAAAATGTGGAAGGTGTTAAGAGGACATCGACATGTTTTTTGCTTCAAAGCTAAGTAATTTCTTTAATCAGGGTATTAACAACCTGATGGTAAGATGGAAAAGCATCACCGACAAAAATGGAGACTATTTCATTTAATAAATGTTTTGGTTTAATATATAAGTTGTTCGGGTTTTTTCATCTAAAAAAAAAGCGACATGAACATGACGACCTAATATCAACCAAAAAACATACTTAGCTTACTACTGGAACAGCAAGAGTATTATTGAGTGTTTTATGAGTGGTTGACGCTTTAGCCGTTTCAAGTTTAGGCTCCTCCTTTTTCCTCTGTCGTCATAGCAACCTTGATTTAAAACGCGGCTCGAAACAGATACTCATCAATGCGTAACAGAACGAATGTTGTGTGTTATGGATGTAGAAATTATGTACTAAAGTAAATACACGTGGTACAACAGAAGTTAATCTACCGTTCTGAGTACGACACATGTTTAATGTTGTGTGCATCTCTTTATAAACAAGCATGAAATAACCAAAATCAACCATTAACTGGTAAGTTTTAACTTTTAATATTTACAATATTAGGATATCTTGTAGTGGTTTCCAGCAAAACTATGTTTCGGTTTTGTAAGAATAAATTTCTGTTCATCTAAATGATAAGTTCCAATATTTTTAGAGTTACAAAAAATGAAGAGAAAAAAAAAAAGGCAACATAAAATCTAATCTTCATGTATTGCTGACTCTTTCCAAAAGAAACAAAGGAATGCCAAAGAGATAACTTTACCGAGCCTTCAGCATGTATTTGTATTTATTCTAAACATTAAAAACTACATTTAAAAAATAATAGTTATGTGTGGAATAATAAGGATTTATTCTAAACTTCATATTTCTTTAACGTGAATTTCGTTTTATTTTTTTATTTTCATTTGGTCTTAATAATAACACAATTTATAGGGAGACTGTGCAAGATACAGTGATGATATGTATACCTATGTTTATGTGTATCAGTTTCTCAGACGACACACATATCTAGTTAGTAACGTCATGGGGGTTATTGACTCACTTTGTGACTATTTCAGAAGATACTTGTACTGCGGAAAACGGTGGGTCACTGAACCTAAAACACCAGGTGATTCTTGTAGTTCCAAAACTACTCTGCACAGCTCTATTACTTTCATAAAGAATGATTCAGGGGATTGTTGTAGTTTGAAACGATGAGTCTTGCACAACAATATTAGTTGAAAGAACATTTCAGATGACTCTTGTGATTTGAAAAATGACGAGTCACTGCACAACAGTGTTAGTGAAGGAATGTTTCAGATCACTCTTGTCATTCAAAATACGATGAGTCACTGCACAACAGTGTTATTGAAGGTAAGTTTCAGATCACTCTTGTAGTTCAAAATACGATGAGTCACTGCACAACAGTGCTATTGAAGATAAGTTTCAGATCACTCTTGTAGTTCAAAATACGATGAGTCACTGCACAACAGTGCTATTGAAAGAATGTTTCAGATCACTCTTGTAGTTAAAAATACGATGAATTTTTTACACATCAGTATCAGTTGAAGAATGTTTCAGATCACTCTTGTAGTTAAAAATACGATGAATTTTTACACATCAGTATCAGTTGAAGAATGTTTCAGATCACTCTTGTAGTTAAAAATACGATGAATTTTTTACACATCAGTATCAGTTGAAGAATGTTTCAGATGAATCACTTCACAAGAGAAGATTATTTTAGTTTTAAAAATATGGTGAGTCACCAGACAGAAGTGTCCCAGGAGGTTTCTGTATTTGGAGGAAAGGTACATTGCCATAGATCAGCATTACTCAGTTATTGCTAAAAATAATGTGTCAGGAGGTTTTATACTTGGAGGAGAGGTGCGTCACCACAGAACAGAATTACACAGTTACTGATAAAATAATGTCTCAGGAGATTTCTGTAGTTCGAAGAATGATAGATAAACAAAAAAAAAAAAGAGGGAAAATACGGACCATTGCATCTGTATGGATGCCTTTTTTTCCACGTTATATTTTATAATTTCAGGTATGAAAATCTACGAGCTCTGGTTTTTATTAGCTTGTGTATGGATGACTAAAAATTACAGAGTGGTTATGTTTGCCTGGTGTTCAATAATCACCTTATAATGTTTGCCTTGTGTTCAATAATCACCTTATAATGTTTGCTTGGTGTTCAATAATCACCTTATAATGTTTGCCTGGTGTTCAATAATCACCTTATAATGTTTGCCTGGTGTTCAATAATCACCTTATAATGTTTGCCTGTTGTTCAATATTCAACTTATAGTACCTACTCATACGTAGTTTGTAATGTTATTCGCTGTTTGCCTCTCTATCTATTATATTAAATTTGCGACTTTTACTTTTGGTTGTGAAATTATTAAAGTCATTGGTTTAGCGCTAGTTTACTTTTGGTTATAAGCTGTGCTCCAAATGTCAGTAGAAGCTTAATATGAAAAACTGAAAGTATACTAGCTCACGATCCCGAACTCTACCGGTGTCTTTCATTGCAGTAAACCTTTTTTAAGCTATACTCCGTTTAAGATGTATTTTATAATGATAATCTTTTACTATTCAGGATATTCTTATCAGTAACAAACTACTTACTATGAATAAAAACGGTGCATATAACGTATTTAAAGAAATCACAGTGTTTTCCTACATAGCTGTATAAACTGATACATACCATTGTATATACCAGGGGCTATGACGTCATAAAAGAAACTTCTGTCAATCATTTAGGACTATAGCCTCAAAAAGTAAAAATAAAGCTACAAATAAAGTTGTCTCAACCAGTCACGTGAACAACAATCGCGTTCTGTAGCTCAGTCTTTGTAAATACCATTACGTTTGTTTGCTGTAATCTCCTATAAAGGCTAGAAGCCGAAATGTCAGCTAATAAAAACAAAATTATACTGAAGTTATTATGAACCAAATACCTCAGTCAGCATAACCGTTCCTCCAGATATGACGGAACGTTGCGATTAGCTTTTGTTAAGAATATCCTATTTATCACAACGGTTGTCACAAATCTATATATATATATATTTATTTAATTTTTTTTGTTAAATTTTTCGACTATTACAGACATACGTTGTGCAAACAAGTACGCGCGAAAAACGAAAAACAACAGTTGCACAGGGCAAGACCGGTTAGCACGTGCAAGACCTGTAATATAGATTAACTTCAATGATAAATAATATTTTGTTTTTGTAGGGAGAGAAACATGATAGTAAAAAGTAAGTTTGAATACAGGATTCTATATACATTTTTTAAACAAATACGAGTTGTTTACGCTCCTACGTCACTCCACTCACTCCCAACCTGTTATATAATGCTACATACTCACAACTCGCGGATCGTGTGCTATTTCCTGCTATCTTGTGTGCCAAACAGTGAACAATGTCAGTAAACTGTCTTTTAGAAACTCAAAGGCATTTTTTTTTATTACTTTCGGATAATATTGTTTGTTTTTGAATTTCGCGCATAGCTACACGAGGGCTATCTGCGCTAGCCGTCCCTAATTTAGCAGTGTAAGACTAGAGGGAAGGCAGTTAGTCATCACCACCCACCGCCAACTCTTGCGCTACTATTTTACCAACGAATAGTGGGATTGACCGTCACATTATAACGCCCCCACAGCTGAAAGGGCGAGCATGTTTCATTTGTCTTTTTTTTTAAACTTGGAAACAGAACAAAAAATTCAAATCGTGATGCATCAAATTTTCTGAACTGTGTTAGATATAAAACAAAAACAGTCGTTTATTTGTTTATAGCATTGGTTGAGAAAACTGCATAATCATATAAATTTTATATTTGGACTCTTAAAAATTGTATAAATTCCTGTACTAAGTTTGGAGCGTTTATTAAACCTTTGATTAGTCATTGAAATTATCATGTTTGCAATCTATTGATCTTAATTTTTATCCTCACCACACATCTGTATGATAATTCGTGAGCTTTTTAACTGCACGGAAAAAGAAAGCAACAGTCAGATGACGTTCTCTCTCAGTGACTAGTACTTTAAAACAAGGGTGAATTATTAGTTTCTGCAATCGTTATTATGAGCGACATAATTCTGGTATTTAGTACCTGCTTAGCCTAAAACAATTTCTTTATTCATGAAACTTATGGTGATTTTTTTTTTTAATTTATATAATTGGCTAAAATATCACCAGCAATTTCAGACTATTTCAAGACTTTGTCAGTTCTTTGTGCGATGTTTTGTTTCTACGAGTGTTGTTCACCGCTCTTAAACAAAATGGTGGATATAGAACATATCCACCACTGACTTTCTTTGTAAGTTCCGAAACGTCTGAAAACTAAATATGTTTTTCTTCATAATTATCAAACCGGAATATGAATACGAGGATTAACGTATCTCGTCTCCTTGCAGCAGCCTTTTAGTGGCTCAGCGGCAAGTCTGAAGGCTTATAATGTTAAAAACCGGGTTTCGATACCCATGGCGGGCACAGCACAGATAGCCCATTATGTAGCTTTGGGCTTGACAACGAATAAATTGTTGCCACAAAAATGCACTCTGCACTTTAGAGTTGCCGGTACGTTATACGAATGACGGTAAAATCCATTATTTGGTCAGACAAGAGCAGCCCAAAAGTTGTTGATCGGTGCTGTTGAGTAGCTAGCTGTCTTCCCTTTAATCTATCAGCTCAAAATTAGGGACGACTAAGCACACGTGGCTCTTATGTAGCTTTGTTCGAAAATCTGAAACGGACAAATGAATAACTCTTTTAATCAGACTCCAGTAATAGTTGTTTTTTTTATAAACTGAGTAAAAATGTTCAAAGTCGTTAGCACATTTCTTTGACAGACTATTTAGATACATGGCTAAATACAATAGGAAGATAACAAAAAAAAATTATTGTATTTTGAGAAATAGCTGAAGTTGTTCGCACTCAGTGAAAACATTCCAGCAAAAATAGATTAATATGTATATTTTTTGTCAACTTAAAATTGCAACATATTAAAACGAACTAATCTGATATTCAGCCATTGAGAATTTGAATTTTGCGTTTATACTAGGCTTTTATTTTCTTATTTCAATAAAAAATTCCAGTATCTTGTTAGTTAGTTTTTTTAATTAAGCACAAAGCTACACAATGGGCTATCTGTGCTCTGCCCACCACGGGTATCGAAACCCGCTTTCTAGCGTTATAAGTCCGCACACAATATTTTTATTGATACGTTCTATAACCTCGTAAGATATAGTTGTCGAGATTTGTCGCTTAAAAGTACTAATCACATCGTGTTATTTGAACACACATAGAAGTAGTATCTTACAGAGGGGCATTCCATTGGACAAGTAGGAATTATTTATTCTGTCATCATGTTTAGTTCATTATAGTAAATATATCATAAAAAAACTTATGTTTTAGTTGCATCATAATTTTCTGGGCCTCAGAAGATTAGGTTACCAGTTTAGGAAAGAGCAAATACGGTACTTCGAGCCTTTATATTCGATTACTAACACATCAGACTCACTATGTGTGAAGGGAGTTAATTTTTTC